AAACATGTTTTTATTGCCTCAACACTTATATTAGTATACTATTGTGAATCGTTAAACAGAATATTTCTTGAATCATACATCAACAGGAGGGGGAAAAAACAACAACAAATTTTAAATAAAATACTTAATTTATCATTTATCAAAACAATGCAATATAAACGGATTGAATCGTGTGTAAATTGTCAAATTGACCCCTGTACACTGTTGACCCCTTACCCAACCTTAAACCAACCCATACACCATACACCGTAAAAAACCTGAGTGTTAAATTAGCACAGCTTGGAGCATATATGTTCCCACTCTACAAGTGTTAAAGTTAATGAGATAATTATGTGATTAATTAAGTGTTGATTGATCATTAGTGATGAACACCTGCTGTTAACAAGCAGAATCACTGAAGAAAAGAGAAACGCAAGAACTACAACTGACTTCAGCCACAGCCTGACATGAAATCAACTGAAATAAAATACATTAAATCTGCCAAGATCTCAGCAGATAATTAAATTCTGACTGAAAACTACATCGGCGATGTAAGATAAAGATAATTATTAAGATAATTAAACAACTCCACAAACAACATCACCAGCTTCATGCATTACTAACCAGTTTGACATTTATATCTGGAGTATCTAAATCAGAAGTTCTTTATTGAAAATTAAGGTTTAGATTTTTTTTTTTCAACTTACCTTTTTGGTGAATAGTGTTTGCTTTAGTTGCGTCTTCACCCTTGACTTTTTGAATATAAGTTTCTCTTTGGCTGTTACAACTGTGTTTATAAAGCACATATGTGATGGTAAGAAACTTATGATAAAATCGTGTCATGTGTCTGACTCTCTGATTGCATTTGATCTAAATCTGTAGTGCTTTTATGATTTCTGTATTATTGCAGTTCTATGATGGGAGTAGAGTTGGGTCGTTCTTGAATGATTCGTTCATTTTGAACTAATCTTTAATGTGACTCTGGAAGAACGAGTCGTATCGGGGAGTGATTCGTTTAGTCGTGCATGCGCAACATCCTATAGGTTCTGTACTGGAATTAGTCAAGTAGTTCACCTGGTTCGAGTCTTCGGGTTTTTCCGAGTCGTTCGTTCATCACGTGACAGCCCCATAAGCTTACCCTATGCAGTCTGAGCCGGAAAGAGAATTGATTAGTTCATCTCGAGTCTTCGGGTTTTTCGAGTCGTTCGTTCATCACGTGACAGCCCCATAAGCTTACCCTATGCAGTCTGAGCCGGAAAGAGAATTGATTAGTTCATCTCGAGTCTTCGGGTTTTTCGAGTCGTTCGTTCATCACGTGACAGCCCCATAAGCCCAAACCCGAAGACTTGTCAGATAAGAGGTGGTGAGCTAATCATACACTGAAGACTCAGGTAAACAATGAATTAATATTTTCTGTTTCTTATCGCAGTTTTGTATTGTTTGTAGTGTGATCAACGTTTCCGTAAGTAGCAGACATATTAGGGAAGTAACACGTAACATTTTTCACTAGATGGGAGATGACAATGTGAGAGAACTTTATAAACCATTTTTATAAATGTAGTTCATAGAAAAGTTTCACTTCTGGCACTCATAGACATAAAGAATCAGCATATGAATCTCAGCAATGGTGATCAAATATTCTGATAATTTTTATATGATTTTTGCACGTCACGAAACAAGGCAGTAAAAAAGTCACAACAAAAATAAAAATCAAACCAAATAGTAAGAATAAAAGAAAATCCTAAGACAATGCAGCTGCATAATTTATTAATGTCGCAATGCATGCTGGGAGCCATGGATGAGTTATGATTGGTGCACCCAGAATGCACTGCAACATGAATCTGTCTGATGATCGCCACCATTGTTGAGATTCATATGCTGATCCTTGATGTCTGCGTGTATAAACAGTTCAGATGTTCTAGACTGGTGTGCAAAGTGTTTTTAAAGTTCTTCATGATGTTGCTTTAAAATGCAGTTCTGATCAACAATATTAACTAAATTACGCATCACTACTGATGACATCAGTGAATCAGGCTACATGGTAACTATGTCATTATAAAAAAAATGGCTAATATAATCTGATCACATTTCTTTCATGTTTTTTTTTGCCATAACAAATGTGTTTCATAAACACAGTTACAGCAACCAGAGAAAAACTAATGTAAAGAAGTCATGGGTTAAGAGCCCAACTAAAGCAATCACTTATCTCATATTTTATTATTTTCAATAAACATTAACATCTAAACCTCTGTTCATTCTTATGCCGAGTTCACACCTCACGATTTTCAAACTCGTCGGATCGCCGTTGTTTTCACACTGCGTGACTATCTGGGGTAGCATTCAGTTGCTGCTGTGTTCACATTGCACGATGGATCGGCGACAGGGGGTTTCACACTGCATGACTTCACAATAGGAAGACGTATAACATCTGTTAAAATCATTTGTAGATTTTCGAGATGTACATGATCATATGAATTAGAAGTTTAATGACATTTGTTAGCATTTTAATTTACATGAAATGTTAATTATTAAGTAATGTTTAATACATTTATTAATAAACATTAACAAGCATATTATTTCACATTTCTAACTATGTGAATATATATTAACTAATGATCCGTTAAGCATTGCATAATGTTTGTTAATGATTTATTAGTGAAAGTTATTATAAAGTGTTACCAAACAAACAATAAATACATCAAATTAAATTGTTTTCAAATTTTGTCAACTTGTTGACATATTTTGGAGCATTTTTTAAAAACCATCACTTTAGTGTTTTTTAATATCACTGTCTTCATCTACAGTAATGTAAGAATCTAGAAGTGTTTCTCTCTTTACTGCACACCAGTATTAGAGTACAGCAGGGCTAAAGACACGTGTCCTCTCAGATTTTTCAGCCAAATGAATACTGAATGCAACTTACAAAAGGGAAAATATATAAATACATGAGGTGGCAAGGGCAGCCTTTTATCTCACACTCGAGGTAAAAGAGTCAAAAGCATGGGGCAAAAGGCCCACAATATTAATAAAAATATTTTAACTAAAGTAATGTTTTGCATAATATATGTTAATTCTTCTCTAAAACAATCCCTTCAGTAATGTTTGTACAATATTTTGTTGTGATAAAATAATGTGATTTTATTAACCGGGTATGTTGCAAAACACATTTATTGAAAAAAAAAATACAGAAAATTTTCATTTAAAAAAAGATTCTGAAATATTCTTACACTGCTTGAAGATCCCGTAATAACTTAACATATATTTACAGTAGTCTCAAGAAATATAATATTTTATTATATCTTGTGAGTGATATATTTTTAAATGTGACGTTTCATTAAAAATATGACTCTTGACTTCTTGAATCTAATCATTTCATGTCAGC